ACACACCGTGTGTGCGTTGATAAGTGGACAGCATTGCTGAGTATTTCCTCCTTAAAACTGCAGTGAACCAAAGACAGTCTCAAAAACACACTGGTGTTTCTGACGTCACAAACCACCTTGTAACCAATCAGATCAACGTGTGATCGACAACCAGTGGATCTCTGAGTGAGTGAGTGGAGGAGGCGGGGCTCATTTGCATATTCATAGAACCGCACAAACTAAATGAGGCGAGGGTGTCGAGTTACATTCAAGATATTTTAAGGCATGAAGATGAAAAAACGTTTAAATATGTCGGTCTGGTGATCAAAGATGAGGTTTAAGGAATAAAATGATTGAGTGTTAGCTAATATATATATAGCTGAAGTTGGAGCTGACTAAATTAAAACAAGCACATCATATCAACTTGATGTTTCAAACAACTTTATCTCTGTTTATATTTCAATACACAACATTCAAACATTTAATTGTTTCAACAATAACAAAATATTATTGATATTTAATATTTAACAATATTATTGATTTGGCTCACTTAAGATGGACGATGATGCTATTTTCTTCTAGAAACAAACTTGTTGTGTTATCTTCCTGTTATCTCTGTAAAGCTGCTTTGACACACTCTGTATTGTAAAAAGCGCTATAGAAATAAAGCTGACTTGAGACTCATTCAGCAGAAGAAATGCTAAACTCTATAAGTGCCCTCCGTCAGTCAGCGGACACGAGAGGGAAGAGAAACTCTATAACACTCGACGCTATACTCCAACTCAGACTCAAAAACTGCCCCTGAAACAACAGATTCGACTAAATCTGCCAACAGTCATGAGAGTAAGCTAAATCTAAAACCATAAAAACAACTTTTGTTAGTTGAAACAAAATAAATAAAATAAAAAATAATAGCCACGGCAACACTTTTTTTTACTTTCATTTAGTTTAAATTGATGTACTACACTGAGTTGTAAAATATATTAAAAAATGACAAAACACATAACTTTAAATACAATTAAAATTAAAACAGCAAATATAAAAATACGATAAATTAATTCGGATGTAGAGCAATATTTGACTATTTAGTTTTTTAAATCAGGTAGAATGTATTATTCAATGACTCACTTATTAAAGACTTGACTCACTTTAATAAAGACACTTGTTTCACATTACTGAATGAATCAGCGTTTTGAATTATTCTCTTGAATGAATGATTCAATGGCTCACTCATAAATCCTTCACTTGTTTCATTACTGGATGAATCAGTGTTTTGAACGACTCTCTTGAATTAATTATTTAATGACTCATGCATAAAGACCTCACTTGTTTCATTACTGGATGAATCAGTGTTTTTGAACGACTCTCTTAAATGAATTATTTAATGACTCGCTCATAGACTTCACTTGTTTCATTACTGGATGAATCAGTGTTTTTGAATGAATCTCTTGAATTAATTATTCAATGACTCACTCATAAAGACTTCACTTGTTTCATTACTGGATGAATCAGTGTTTTTGAACGACTCTCTTAAATGAATTATTTAATGACTCGCTCATAGACTTCACTTGTTTCATTACTGGATGAATCAGTGTTTTTGAATGAATCTCTTGAATTAATTATTCAATGACTCACTCATAAAGACTTCACTTGTTTCATTACTGGATGAATCAGAGTTTTTGAATGAATCTCTTGAATGAAAGATTCAATGACTGACTCATAAATACTTCACTTGGTTCATTACTGGACGAATCAGTGTTTTTGAATTAAACTCTTGAGTGAATGATTCAATGACTCACTCATAAATCCTTCATTTGTTTCATTACTGAATGAATCAGTGTTTTTGAATGAATCTCTTGAATGAATGATTCAATGACTGACTCATAAATCCTTCACTTTTTTCATTACTGGATGAATCATAGTTAATCTCTTGAATGAATGATTCAATGAATCACTCATAAAGACTTCAATACATAGTTCCCACATGACGTCACAACATACGGGCATTTGCCGACCCGGCGCCATTGCTGAGGGCAAAACATAAGAAGAAGCAATACGAGTTGAACGAAGTGAAATGAGTTTCGTGCTATAAAGTGAAAATGGTCATCTCCTGTTGAGTCAATGGATGATAAAATCGTGCCGGAGGTTCAGTTAAAACGGGATTTTACACTATACCCGTCATTAGACTCCATATGGATGTGAGAAGACTAAGCTTTTGTCCGAACAACGACGGAGATTATGGCTGGCGAGCATAAACAGGAAAGAAACTCACTCAAAACACGCACGAATTTGTTTGACAAAAGCATAATGTTGTGTTTTATTGCGAGTGTAAATAAATATAAGTTAACACGTTGCAGTTTGAATAATGTCCTGTATGAACAAAATGACGAGGTATTAAAAACATACAAAACAACATTGCTTCCACTGTTTGATCTCACATTCCAGCATTGCAATCTCAGATTATGTCCCTAAAGATCCCGGGTATAATGTAGTTCCTCATTTATTACATTAATTAAATTGCACGCGAGTTATTTATTTTAATATTCATGCACCGAACCATGACGCCCGCAAGTACATGCATATTACAGAAATCACCGGTGACTGGGGAACATAGGAATTAAGTTGTGCAGGCTATGGCTTTTTAATAGACAGATTAGCATCATGCTACTTTGCTATGATGACTTAAGTTACTTTTCCATTGATTGCACTTGAGCAAACGTCACCAAACCAACCCCACGTCAATCTGATCGTACACCTCCAGTGATTTCCAGGCTTGGAATTTGCTTACATGTGTAAAAACTCCTCACCAATAACAGATAATTGTACACATGAAAATACTGTATCTGAGGCAAAGTTGCATAATCGGTTCTCAGTGCTTCTTTTGTTGCATAAGGATACACACCATTTATGAATGAAATTTTCGCATTGTACCTCTCTATGTCTTGTTTTAATAGTCTCTTTATAATCTATTACACTTTGTCTTTTCATGATTTGCATAACAATATAAACAGACATAAATATTTGTTTGTAAAACGACATTCTCTGATAAAACGTTGTAAACGCCTATGGTAAACACAGCGGTTTTGCCCTCAAAGATGGCGTCTCCGGGGAGGTCACGTGACAATTTTTTTGCCTGTGGGAACTATGTATTGTTTCATTCTTGGATGAATCAGAGTTTTTGAATTAATCTCTTGAGTGAATGATTCAATGACTCACTCATAAATCCTTCACTTTTTTCATTACTGGATGAATCAGTGTTTTTGAATGAATCTCTTGAGTGAATGATTCAATGAATCACTCATAAATCCTTCACTTTTTTCATTACTGGATGAATCAGTGTTTTTGAATGAATCTCTTGAATGAATGATTCAATGACTCACTCATAAAGAATTCACTTGTTTCATTACTGGACGAATCAGTGTTTTTGAACGACTCTCTTAAATGAATTATTTAATGACTCGCTCATAGACTTCACTTGTTTCATTACTGGATGAATCAGTGTTTTTGAATAAATCTCTTGAATGAACGAATCAATGACTGACTCATAAATACTTCACTTGTTTCATTACTGGATGAATCAGCGTTTTTGAACGAATCTCTTGAATGAACGATTCAATAACTGACTCATAAATACTTCACTTGTTTCATTACTAAATGAATCAGCGTTTTTGAACGAATCTCTTGAATGAATGATTCAATTACACATTTTTCGCAGTCACTTGTCGCCACCTACTGGTGTAACGATCAAACTGATACAATCTTTATTTGAAGCATCAAGTTTACTTTCAAAAGGTGATTTACTCTATTTTGATGTCTACCGTAGACGTCAGTGTGTGTATATGAACAATAAACCTTTATCCCAGCACTTCTGTGATAATCTGAATACAATGGGGTCTAAAAGTCTGAGACCATTCGTGAAATAGATATGAAGATCTCACACATGTTTGATACACTAGATTCATTCATATCCAGAAGCCAAGAAGGTTCATCGAGGTCACACACAAGCAAGACATCTGGAAGCGCTTGAGATCGATTCTGTGTTCAACCACATTCACAAGGCCAGTGTTTTTCTAGGCCTGCTAACCTGACTTCCTGATAATGAGTTATTCATCACAGACAGCCACACTGAAACATGCTTACAGCGCTCTTTTGCCTAAAGATAGAGTCGGATTATTGTTCTTATGTACAATCTGTGTAATACCATCCAGTTGATTATATGTGACAAACACTTTTGTGGTGTAATCAAAGATGGTGACTCTATTTTCACCGCATTGACATTAAGGACAGAATCCACTCAAACCTGCATGAAATTACAACTCACCCTATCTATTTTCTAAACGCATATTGTAGATCTTAATGTGAACAATTCATCCGCACATGTTACGTATTGTTTTTTAATTTACCTTATAAAATTTTATCAAAATCTGATCGTCTAGTTAGCTTAAAATCCTCCTGTAGTCAGTCATTTTATCACTTAAAACTCATCTTTGATCACCAAAATAACATATTTAAACGTTTTTTTCCTTGAAAATAATTCTTAGTGTCTTAAAATATCTTGAATGTAACTCGACACCCTCGCCTCATTTAGTATGCGTTGTTCTATGAATATGCTGATGAGCCCCTCCTCCACTCACTCAGAGATCCACTGGTTGACGATCACACGTTGATCTGATTGGTTACAAGGTGGTTTGTGACGTCAGAAACACCAGCGATTTCAAAGCGTGTTTTTGAGACTGTCTTTGGTTTAAAGGAGGAAATACTCAGCAATGCTGTCCACTTATTACAACTTAGGTGTGTGTTAAAGCAGAATAAAAACACCACATAGACACATAAACAACAATAAACACTGGGTTTTCACCACTGGGGGACTTTAACAGGTTAAATAAAATGGATAGTTTACTCAAAACAACATGGACCCCATTGACTTCCATTGTATGGACAAAAAAACAGATTTTGAAAAAATGATGACAGAATAATCAATTTTGGTTGAACTGTCTCTTTAAGAATGAAGATGTCCTGACCTTGGTGAGGTAATAGACACACTGCTGGAAGGTGAACATCAGAACTTCCTCCAGAACCGTCATGGCCTCTTCGCTGGCGGGCCGCACCGACGAAAGCCGAAGCTCCAGAACCGCTAAAACACACCCAGACATGCAAACCACTGAATCTGAACCGACACATCACATCATTCCAGCGCTGTCAATCAATTAAAAAAACTCGATTAATCACACATTTATTTGTGATTAATCATGACTAAAAACATGTTTATGTTTTTAACTTATTTTATAATTTAATCATTTCACAGTTAATCACCAAATTTATGTAGAAACAACATAAACACAGTTTAATACTTGTTTAATGGGATCTTTTTATGAATGAAGGCCAGCATTACTGATATTACTTAATACAGTCTCATTGAAAGATTTTCCCTCCCACTTTTAAACTTTAATACAGTCCCTCCAGAAAAACGTGATTATGCGATCGCATGATTTGGTGCATAATCAGCCAAAGTCCGCATATTTATGCGAGGGGCGCATTTTTAAAATACGCCACACTTACGGTGCATAAATTGCCGTTTTACGGGCACAATATGGGGAGGTTGCATGATTTCATAATCCTCAAAATTTCATTGGAAAAAAGTTAGATATATCTGAGTAGAAAATTAAAAAATGTTGCGTTTGCTTCACACCAGAGCAGCCGTTTCCCCCTGTGGCCATGGGAACGTTATGAATTGACGTAACCTGTTGCCATGGGAACGTTATGAATTGACGTAACCTGTTGCCATGGGAACGTTATGAAGTACACGTAACCTGTTGCCATGGGAATGTTATAAAGTGACGTAACCTGTTGCCATGGGAACGTTATGAAGTTCACATAACCTGTTGCCATGGGAACGTTATGAAGTGACGTAACCTGTTGCCATGGGAATGTTATGAAGTGACGTAACCTGTTGCCATGGGAATGTTATGAAGTGATGTAACCTGTTGCCATGGTAACGTTATGAAGTGACGTAACCTGTTGCCATGGGAATGTTATGAAGTGACGTAACCTGTTGCCATGGGAATGTTATGAAGTGACGTAACCTGTTGCCGTGGGAATGTTATGAAGTGACGTAACCTGTTGCCATGGGAACGTTATGAAGTGACGTAACCTGTTGCCATGGGAATGTTATGAAGTGACGTAACCTGTTGCCATGGGAACGTTATGAAGTGACGTAACCTGTTGCCATGGGAATGTTATGAAGTGACGTAACCTGTTGCCATGGGAATGTTATGAAGTACACGTAACTTGTTGCCATGGGAATGTTATAAAGTGACGTAACCTGTTGCCATGGGAACGTTATGAAGTGACGTAACCTGTTGCCATGGGAACATTATGAAGTGACGTAACCTGTTGCCATGGGAATGTTATGAAGTGACGTAACCTGTTGCCATGGGAATGTTATGAAGTGACGTAATTACACCACGTGAACATCAACTTTATTTTTTATATTTTATTTATTAATTTTCACAGAAGTTGTAGCATATTCCTTTTGTAAAGCTACAGAACTTTGTTTGACTCAATAAGTTTGATGTGTTTATTAAGGTCTGAAATAAAACAAGATATTGAAATATTCCAGCACTTTCTGTGATGTATATGCTTCATAAGTAATAAGAAAGGACTCTTTACATTAAGGCAGGAGTCTAGTGAGGACAGGGTTTTGGAGGATAACTTTTTTTCTCTTTTTCATCAAACAACAATTTTTGCAAGTATAAAATTGCATAAATATCCCGCATATTCAAGAATTTTTGCCTGCAACAATCACAAAAAAACTCTGTGTTTTTCTGGAAGGACTGTTAATAATAGCCTTTCAACATTGTCTTTGTGTGTGTGTGTGTGTGTTACCTAACAAACACATCACATTATTTACATAAGAACGCATTTGATTTTGAACTTTACCAATGCAGTCTTCCTCCTCCTCCTCCTCCTCCTGAGAGATGCCATGCAGAAGACGAGGAAGATCCTGGTGGATGAAGTGAAGGATCTCGGTGGAGTTGGCCATCCACAGGACCAGCGGCTCCAGACCCCGGATCAGCCGGTCCTCTGCTTCTGAATCACGTCTGCTCGAGCCAGGAAAAGCTGCTTTTAATGCAAGCTGTGCCTGAGATATTGCATTTTAATTCTTCTGGTTATGAATTCATGAGAAACAAGATCCTGCTCTTACATTTTAGACTGCAACGCTGCAAGATCTTTCGCCTTTTCCTGTATTAAGGTTTAAAAGATACACACAACACAACAACGTTTTATAGTGTGACGAATCTTGCATTTCACTGCATCTTTTCATTAAAAGGTGAAACTCGAAAAATTTGAATATGATGCAAAAGTGCATTTATGTCAGTAATTCAACTTAAAAGATGAAACTAATATATTATATAGACTCATTACATAAAAAGTGAGATATTTCAAGCCTTTATTTGTTATAATGTTGATGATTATGGCTTATAGCTTATGAAAACACCAAATTCAAATTAGAATATTGTGAAAAGGTTTTCATATCTGTAAATAAATGAACTTCCACGATTTAAACATTTTTGAGTTTCACCTGTAAAACGTGAGAAAACAATTCATAAAAGTTGTTTAAAAATTATATAAATGTACGAGGTGGCGAGGGTGGCTTTTTTTTTTTACTCACACAATATTGACACAAGTTAAAGGGTTAGTTGACCCAAAAATGAAAATTCTGTTGTTCAACCCCGTCAGACCTTCGTTCATCTTCGCAACACAAATTAAGATATTTAAGATATTAAGATCGCTCCTGCATACTAGTCCATAGGCTTCTTGAGGGAATGACTCTTGATGGCCTCGAAAAGTCATTAAAGACATCGTTAAAATAGTCCAAGTGACTAAAGGGGCTCAATCTTAACTTTATCAAACGACGAGAACACTTTTTGTGCGCAAAAACAAACAAAAATAACGACTTTATTTCAACTATTCACTTCCTTCTCCATGGGCCTGTAGTCAGTTAACGTAGTGTGATTGCGTAAAGCTACGTCACACGTAGGCTCACTATTGGCCGACGCTGGTCATGTGTGTGATGCGTGTGACGTACAATAACAGAAGCTTACGCTATTAAACTAGTAACCTGACTCGCGCAGAGGGAGAAATAAACCAATAGTTGAAATAAAGTCGTCATTTTTGTTGTTTTTGCGAACAAAAAATATTCTCGTCGTTTGATAAAGTTAAGATTGAGCCCCTGTAGTCACTTGGACTATTTTAACGATGTCTTTAATGACTTTTCGAGGACATCAAGAGTCATTCCCTCAAGAAGCCTATGGACTAGTATGCAGGAGCGATCTTAATATCTTAAATATCTTAATTTGTGCTGCGAAGATGAACGAAGGTCTTACGGGGTTGAAACAACATGAGGGTGAGTAAATACTGACAGAATTTTAATTTTTGGGTGAACTAACCCTTTAAGTTAAATGAAGTAAGTTGAAATGACTGGACAGACTGACCCACACGAGCGTCTGAAGCTGATTGGCTGTGTGTAACAGGAGTCTTCGGAGGGCCGGCATTGAGAAGTGATTGACGGATTGCTGGAAACACAAACAAAGCAGGAACGCAGCGCTCAGTTTGTGTGTGTGTTTATCCTGATCCACCGTGGAGAAGATCTCCTGCAGGACCCGGGATTCGTGCTCGACATCGTACGGCAGAGCCAGTTCTGCTCCCTCAGCGTCTCTGAAGCCTCGAGGCCTTCTGGGTTTCGCTGACAGCACACACACTTGACAGAGAGTTGGGTGTTCAGAAGTCGGGTCTTTATACATGAAGAGGTAATGATGTCCCAGACCGATGACGTCTCCCGAGCGCAGCTCCACCTCCTGACGGACAGCAGATCCGTTCCTCGTCACTCCGGCTCCGGCGAGCGGCTTCAGAAGTGTCACAGGTTTCAGGAGCGTCTCGGGTTTCACATCGAGGGGTTTCGGGAGCGTCTCGGGTTTCAAGTCGAGGGGTTTCAGGAGCGTCTCGGGTTTCACGTCGAGGGGTTTCAGGAGCGTCTCGGGTTTCACGTCGAGGGGTTTCAGGAGCGTCTCGGGTTTCACGTCGAGGGGTTTCAGGAGCGTCTCGGGTTTCACGTCGAGGGGTTTCAGGAGCGTCTCGGGTTTCATGTCGAGGGGTTTCAGGAGCGTCTCGGGTTTCACATCGAGGGGTTTCGGGAGCGTCTCGGGTTTCAAGTCGAGGGGTTTCGGGAGCGTCTCGGGTTTCACGTCGAGGGGTTTCAGGAGCGTCTCGGGTTTCACGTCGAGGGGTTTCAGGAGCGTCTCGGGTTTCACGTCGAGGGGTTTCAGGAGCGTCTCGGGTTTCATGTCGAGGGGTTTCAGGAGCGTCTCGGGTTTCACGTCGAGGGGTTTCGGGAGCGTCTCGGGTTTCACGTCGAGGGGTTTCGGGAGCATCTCGGGTTTCAGGAGCGTCTCGGGTTTCACGTCGAGGGGTTTCGGGAGCGTCTCGGGTTTCACGTCGAGGGGTTTCGGGAGCGTCTCGGGTTTCACGTCGAGGGGTTTCGGGAGCATCTCGGGTTTCAGGAGCGTCTCGGGTTTCACGTCGAGGGGTTTCGGGAGCGTCTCGGGTTTCAGGAGCGTCTCGGGTTTCAAGTCGAGGCGTCGGACGAGACAGTGGCGAGGAAGCAGATCCGGAGCCCAGAGATCCAGGCGTTGTGAGTCGCTGTCGCACTCGGTCGGATTGACACGCCGTCCGAACACTGAGCTGCTGTTGATCAGGGGATAGATGACAAAATCCTGAGGAGACAAGGAAACACATTAGGCTTCAAGAAAGGGCATTCAACCGAGACCGCATTACTGTCCGTCACAGAAGCCCTGCGGATCGCAAAAGCTGCTTCCAAATCATCAGTTCTTATTCTCCTGGACCTGTCTGCTGCCTTCGACACGGTGATCCTTCTCATCCCTGGGTATCACTGGAACCTCCACTGGTTTGAGTCTATCTCACAGGTAGGTCCTTCAGGGTCGAATGGAGAGGCGAGGTATCCAAAGCACATCAACAGTCCACAGGGGTTCCCCAGGGTTCAGTGCTTGGACCGCTCCTCTTCTCCATTTACACCACATCACTGGGTCCCATCATACAGGCACATGGTTTCTCTTACCATTGCTATGCTGATGACACCCAGATCTACCTCTCACTTCAACCAGATGATCCCACAGTTGCTGCACGCATCTCAAGCTTTCTGGCGGACATCTCGGCATGGATGAAGGAACATCACTTGCAGCTCAACCTGGCTAAGACTGAGCTTCTCGTCCTCCCCCCCAATCCGCCTCTACAGCACAACTTAGATTCTTCCTCAATCACCCCATCAAGGTCAGTCAGAAATCTTGGAGTGATCTTTGATGACCAGCTGACCTTCTCAGACCACATTGCAAAGCAGTGCAATCAAGCGGCAACATTCTAATCTGAAAGATGAAGCCTACCAGGAAGTGCGATAAACTGCAATACATCTCAAATCCGCTAGAGGCCGGTCCCAAAAGGGAGCAAATATCCATAGACGTCATGTTATAATGTCCGTTTTCACAGCATAAATTCATATGTTTACAGTTTGGTCCCATGGACTTTTATTGTAATCTTCAATATGTTCCGCGTGCCTGACAACTGTGAATTTTTTTCTAACTCGTTAGTTTAGATCATATTTAGATATAAAACGTATGACAAATAAGGGCGGTTAACTTTGATTGACAGCTGATAACGGGCTGCGCCGAGTGAATTTGACGTCTCGGCCATGATCTGATACAACACATCATACCACCTCTGTATCCTTTCTGAAACTTTTGTATTTTGTATTTTCCAAGATTTTCCAATATGGCGCCGCCCATACCCCCCATACACAGCCTCAAACCCGTTCTTCAGAGAGTCTATGGGTGACGTCACAGACGCTTTGTTCATATTTTTTACAGTCTATGATTGCAATGCACAACATCAGGAAGATCAGGCCTTTCCTAACTGAACATGCAACACAACTTCTTGTCCAGGCCCTGGTTATTTCTAGGCTTGATTGCTACAATGCTCTTCTGGCTGGACTTCCATCATGCGCTATTATAGTGCGTTCACAACGCTGCGCAAATAGCGCGTCAAATTCACGCCTGACGCGCCTAGTTTGACGCTTGACCACTTTGTGTTAAAATAAAAAGTTTGAAACGAAATTTACGCACAACTCGCACGTCAAAACCGGAACCCGTTGACGGCCATCTTTGTTTATGTTGATCGAGCATTCATCGAGAGATTTACCGCACTGTATTTTCTCTGGAGAGCTAGAACAGCGGCGTGGGGATCATCGTCGCCGTATTTGTGTCCACCGGACCCTTCTGAGGCGAACCGTTTGGCTAGTTTTACCATTTGCTCGGTCAGCGCTACTTCCGCCTGTCCCATGGCCATTTTGATGACCTGTTGTCCCGCATCGGAGCGAGGATCACCCTCACCCTCATCCATCTAATCTTTCATTTGTTTTGATGATAAATAGAGCCAGCTTCCAAAAGTTATTAACCTGTCCTGTGATTTTTTTTTCTCTCTCATGTCCAGATACGAACTTATGCACATATGTTGATTGTCTTTACATCATAATACTATTTCATATAATCTAGATATGGAATGAATAACATTCAATACAAAATGAACATGTCTCGTATATAGAAATAATGTTTTAAGTGATAAAATATTTGCTTTGTTGTGCATAATCCCACCATGCATTTAGTCATATTACAAAATAATTTATTAAAGCATCCATCCAGACACTTCACCATGTGAGCAAGCAGCTAGGCTCATGATTGGTTCACTGATGCCGGTTGGATGTACAATATCCCGCTTATTGCATGGTTAATTGCCACATAAGTAAATATTTAGACACAAAATATTGATTTGATTCTTAATATTTTATTAGGTCTTCAAACGCAAAGCTTCGTGAAAAAAGCAGTTGCTAGCGGCGCAAGTTCAAACTAGATGAACATTTAAGAGATAAGAGATATCACACTTATTACAGCATTTCACCACATAAATAATTATGGGTATAAGATATATATTAAAGAAATCGTAATCGGCCTAGAAAATCGTAATGGGTGCATCTCTAATATATATTGATTTCAGATTAAACTGTTATCGTACATGTTTGTTTTCCTATAATCCAACCGTGAACAAAACAATAGTAAAAATGTCCGCCGCTGCGTTTGTGTGAAACAAGAGAGAGCGAGTCCACGATACTGGATGGCATACTTAAATAACTGCACTCAAAATATTGATTGAGTTTTAATATTTTATTAGCTCAACAAATGCAAAACTTCCACAAGGAAAAACTTGTCCTAGTGAGTGTGTATTATGTGCATAGCGCTGAGGACTTCAGTGACCCGGTGTGTTTCTGCTCTCAGCGGCTGTTATCGGGGAATAATATACGATTGACCAATCAGAATCAAGTATTCCACAGAGCTGTCTATTAAATATACTTAATATGTCAACATGTTGTCATTTAAGCCAAATGTGCTTTTTTAAATGCAGATACATTTTAAGATTATTAGTGCACATTCAATACAATAAAGGGAATGCGTTTAAAGAGTTTCCTCCGGTTGAAAAGGTCATTTGAGGTAAAAAGTAAAAACTGGTTTCAGTGAAGTCAAAAATATTACTTTTAGATGGTTTGACAAATGTGTGTGTGTGTGTGTGAGTGTAAATATGAGTCCGTATACACAGATAATCTGTCAGGAAATGTGTTCAGTCTCTGGACGCATCACTTCCTGTCCAACACTGGGCCTGTTTTTACATACGTTGTCATTTTTCATGCCATTTATCCTCTGTTTGGCACATTCTGTTATTTTCCAGTGGAATCGAAGGGATATGGGATCACTCTTTTCCACGGCGCATTGACGTCACCTGTGTTGTATTATGCCGTTTAAAGGGAGTGTCTCATTTTGATGGTAAGATTGTAAAATCTGATCAGTGACTGAATTATGATCCTAAAACAAAACAGAGTGAAAATCCCTGTAATTCTGTAGTTAACAGCCCAGATTTAGAAACTAACAGCATCAAACACGAAACTGAAGTTCATTTTGCTACTGAAGTTAAAATGATGGTGCCTGGGAAACTGCTGCGTGTAAGTTTCTGCAGTCGGGCTCTTTCTTATGGAAGCTTGTTTCCGCCACAGAATAAAACATTTTAAAAGATAATTGACCCTTTTTGCAAGTTTATATCTCACAATTCTGACTTTACGACTTAGTGTCACGCAACTGTGTAAAAAAAATCTGAATTGTGAGATAAAACGTCGCAATGACTTTTATTTTTAATTCTGTGGCAGAAACAAGCTTCCATACCGTGTGTGTCGCGTCAGACGAAACACAGTAAACGCTGTCGTGTTCTCTGGCGTGTGTATGGAGGGAATTACACCCAATCACTCTGATCACACACTTCGACTGCGGCGTTTCTGAAACGCCAAACTAACATTATAGACGCTGCGATGCCATTGGTCCACTGGTTACTCCAGTTATCCACTGAGGGTTTTGTTGCGCATCAAAGGATTTATTCAGTATATCTGTTTCCGTCATAGTTTATGCACATGTCTTCTAATTTGGGGGAAAAGTCAATTATGAATCATGATTTTATAATCTATGGATTTTAATTGATTCACAACTTTCAAATATCAATTATCGAGGCAGTTAAAGCTACACTTTATAACTTTTTTATGTTCTAAATTGAAAAAAAAATTAAACATACATTTAATCAGGTTAGAAAAAAAGGTAACACTTGACTTGAAGGGGTGTGCATAAGACTGACATGACACCTTTATAATCATGACACATGTTATGAATATTAAGGAGGGTTTATGGCAACTGCCATTAAGTGTCATTATGACATTTTTAATGCAAATATGGCATTGTTTGAGATGTCTTTGTTGTGACACCTTGACATAAACCAATCCATCATAACCTGTCAGTGTCTTTGTCATGACAACTGGACATTACCAAGACAACATAAATATGTCTTAAACAGATTAATGATCAAACTTAAGAAAGCACTTAGCTTTATGGGTGAACATTACATTAAACTGTCATGTGGTTGGTTTTGACATTGGCTGTCATGAGGCGCATGATTTTACAGTGGCATGATTTACCACATGATTTTACAGTGGTATACGTTCAATTTGTCATTAACATGTTATTATAACGCCCTCATGACAGCCAATGTCAAAATCAAAATCAACCACATGACAGATTAATGTAACCAATAAAGCTAAAGTTTCTTAAGTTTAATAATTAATCTGCTATGTCATATTTATGACAGGTTTTGTCTTAGTACTATCAAGTTATCATGAAAAATGTCATATTTGCATTAAAAAATGTCATAATTGAGTGAATGACACTTAATGACAGTTGTCACAAACATGCATAAACCCTCCTTCATATTCATAACATGTGTCCTGTCCTAATTACGAAGGTCTTATGCACACCCCTTCAAGTCAAGTGTTACCGAAAAGAATAAAAGTAGATGGATGTAAACACAGAAATTGATAAAAATGGCATATCATTCCAGAGAAAGTGTGTGTTGGGCTGGAGGAGAGGACGAGGAGGTCTGTCCTACCTGTGTGTAACTGAAGCCCTGCAGAAGCAGAAAGTAGGGAAAATCCAGCGGCGGATGAATGGAAAACTGTGTGTCGTTGTCATCGCTGCTCTCCGTCTCCTCGCGCTCACCAGCGGGACAGTGTGTGTGTTTGTAGACCTCGGCCTCTGGATCCTCCGTGAGGTTTGTGTGAGCCTCGACTCTCAGGTTCGTCAGGCTGAGACTCTTAAACATATTGTGTTTTCCATCGTCCAGCCGGACCGATCGCCCACGGGAGCGAGTCTTCTGCAGCTTCCGTGCCTGTGCGTTTATGCCTGGAACATGAGACATTGAAAGTATTAAAGTGCTGAAAATCCAGCTTTTGAAGTTGTTTATATGTGTTTTAATCTGCTTTAACACACACACATGTGTAAGTTCATAAGTGGACAGCATTGCTGAGTATTTCCTCCTTAAAACTGCAGTGAACCAAAGACAGTCTCAAAAACACGCTTTGAAGTGGAGGTGGGGCTCATTTGCATATTCATAGAACCACGTATACTAAATGAGGCGAGGGTGTCGAGTTACATTCAAGATATTTCAAGAAATATGTCATTTTGGTGAGTTTTAATGGATACAATTATTGACAACAGGGGGACTTTAAACATCTTGTGTTTTAGAAGAAAAGGTTCTATGTGGATATAACAGTTCTCAACCAGGGGGTCTTATCAAACTTAATATCTTTTCACCACAAGGTGGCACTATTCCAAAACTTTTTGAGTACCTTCAAGGCATCATGCCGAAGACACGCACCAATTTTCATTCCAATGCACCAATGCATTCGTAAAATATAGCATTTTAGTGGCCCAAAACACCAAATATCTTCAGTGCAGAAGTGATTATTGGGGGCTTTACCAGCGGTCACCGTGTCTTTGTCTTTAGAGTTGTTTTCTTCCACTGTAGCCTTGCGCTGGATCTCAAATCGGCGAGCGAAACCTTCTCTGGGCTTCCAGAGCGACTGCAGCAAGAGCGGCTTCTCATCGTCTCCAACCACACGAACACATTCAGTCCTCCAGCGCTGGTTCTCCACACAGCCGATCACGTCACACAACACATACTCATCAGATTCTTCTTTGCTCAGGGAGTATCTGAAACAATACAAACAGCAGAGCAGCTGATAGGACACACACACACACACACGCACACACACTACTGTTGGGGTTCAGGGTTTAATGTGTTTGAAAGAGTCTCTTCTGCTCTCCAAGGCTGTGTTTATTTGTAAAATAATACAGTAAAAACAGTGAAATATTATTGCAGTGTAAAACAGATGTTTGTCACAGAATAAAACATTTTAAAAGATAATCGTGAGTTTTTATCTCACAATTAAAGAGTTTACATCACGCAATTTTGACCACAGAATTGCGAGACATAAAGTCAGAAGTCGCATGATCCTTCAGAAATCACTCTAATATGATGATTTGATGATCAAGAAACATTTATTATGTGGAAACCGTCATACATTTTATTTAGCTGGATTCTTTGATGAATAGAAAGTTCAAAAGAACAGCATTTACTAAAATATAATCTTTCGTAACATTATAAATGTCTTTACTGTCACTTTTGGTCAATTTAATCCGTCCTTGTTGAATAACAGTATTAATCTGATTCAAAAGACAAACAGACATTAAGATCTTGAAAAACACAGGCACTTTCGAACACATGTATTCTAGTAGTAGAATTAGGAAAGAACAGAGCAGTTTCTGTTTCAGATCCTGGGTCAGATCAGATGTAATAACCCAGTGTTTGGGTAGTTTTTGTGTAACCCATATCCTGGGTCAGACGTAACAACCCAGTGATTGGGTAGTTTTTGTGAAACCCAGATTCTGGGTCAGAAGTAACAACCCAGTGTTTGGGTAGTTTTGTTGTAACCCAGATCCTGGGCCAGACGTGACAACCCAGCGTTTGGGTAGTTTTTGTGTAACCCAGATCCTGGGTCAGACGTAACAACCCAGCGTTTGGGTAGTTTTTGTGTAACCATGATCCTGGGTCAGACGTAACAACCCAGTGTTTGGGTAGTTTTTGTGTTACCCAGATCCTGGGTCAGACGCAAAAACCCAGTGTTTGGGTAGTTTTTGTGTAACCCAGATCCTGGGTCAGACATAACAACCCAGTGTTTGGGTAGTTTTAGTGTAACCCAGATCCTGGGTCAGACGTAACAACCCAGCGTTTGGGTAGTTTTTGTGTAACCCAGATCCTGGGTCAGACGTAACAAGCCAGTGTTTGGGTAGTTTTTGTGTAACCCAGATCCTGGGTCAGACGTAACAACCCAGCGTTTGGGTAGTTTTTGTGTAACCCAGATCCTGGGTCAGACGTAACAACCCAGTGTTTGGGTAGTTTTTGTGTTACCCAGATCCTGGGTCAGACGCAAAAACCCAGTGTTTGGGTAGTTTTTGTGTAACCCAGATCCTGGGTCAGACATAACAACCCAGCGTTTGGGTAGTTTTTGTGTAACCCAGATCCTGGGTCAGACGTATCAACCCAGTGTTTGGGTAGTTTTTGTGTTACCCAGATCCTGGGTCAGACGTAACAACCCAGCGTTTGGGTAGTTTTTGTGTAACCCAGATCCTGGGTCAGACGTAACAACCCAGTGTTTGGGTAGTTTTTGTGTAACCCATATCCTGGGTCAGACGTAACAACCCAGTGTTTGGGTAGTTTTTGTGGAACCCAGATTCTGGGTCAGACGTAACAACCCAGTGTTTGGGTAGTTTTGTTGTAACCCAGATCCTGGGTCAGACGTGACAACCCAGTGTTTGGGTAGTTTTTGTGTTACCCAGATCCTGGGTCAGACGCAAAAACCCAGTGTTTGGGTAGTTTTTGTGTAACCCAGATCCTGGGTCAGACGTAACAACCCAGTGTTTGGGTAGTTTTTGTCTAACCCAGGGGCTCATTCTTCGTACGTCAGTAACTTAGCTGGTTTTGATTGTTGGTGATTTGCCATGATCTTGGATCGTTTGGTTCTTTGACGCTCATCCTGGACTTGCTGTCATAGCAACAGGTCCGTCAGCTTGTAACCCAACATGTGTTCGGTTGTACAACCCCAATATTGGGTTGTTTTTAACCCAGTGTCTTTTAGAGTGTGTGTGGCCCGGATCTGGGCCGACACTGTGTTGCCGTGTGGGTTCTGACTGCTGTACTCACCTGGAGAGAGCCTCTTTGACCAGCTCTTTGGCACTGGAGTGTGTCGTGGCAAGAACGCTCTTGTAATTCGCTCCTTCGCAAATCTCAGTGCCGAAGATCTTCAGGATGCCGGGAGCCGAGACCTGATTGGACAGTTCTGAGGGATCGTCCGTCACCTCAGCCGAGTCTCTATGAGGGCCGCGGCCGAACACAGCGGACAGACGCTGACGCCGGATCTTGTTCTTGGCCGGTTGTCGGATCCCGACGCTCTCCGTGGATCTGCCCGTGCCGCTGGATGAGCTCGACCTGGAGGAGGGAAGCAAACGGATCAACTCGATGCAAACCTGCACTGCTTTAAAGAAATGCACTTTTATGATGGACAGATGGACAGATGCACTTTTATGATGGACAGATGCACTTTTATGATGGATAGATGCACTTTTATGATAGGAAATTTTAAGGACTTCAAAATGTCAACTGTATTTGTCTTAAAGAAGAATGTTATATACACCTATGATGACTTGAGGGTGAATAAAACATGGGCTAATTTTCATTTTTTGGTGAACAAATCCTTTAATCTGGCTGTCCATCAATAATGAATGGCAATGTGCAAATGCGCAGTTCCTCTAAATACCTTTATAATATTTTGAGGATTTTGTCTAAATCCTGTATTTCAGTAGCAGTGGCACAAAAGCTCCTTTTCATTGCGTCAGTATTACATGTGTGTTTATTCATCTTTTGGGCCCTAAATAAAATCTCTAACTTCACTATTATTTATTTGTTCCAAGGGAATAGTTGGTATTAGGGCGCCAATATAATTAATATATATCTGATTAAGCTTTGTAATATTATTGTGGGATGCTTGGAATTTTTTCAAGGAATGATATAGTATAATACTGTTCAATTTTTTCATATTTATGGATTCATGATACCAGACACATTTCTGTTATATGACAAACTGAATTAAACAAACTTAAATCATACTTTTTTAATGAAGAACAATCATGAAAAATCCTTTCCACTACATCAGTGTCATATGTGGAATATGATGGTGGAAATAACATTTTAAACAACTTGACTAGAAATGATGCACAATAAAATATACTAAACGACTAATAGTTAAGTCTTAAGTTCTTATTCACTGACGTTTTTCAAAGTTATAATCAACTTTGTGTTTTGGGTAATATTCAGAATCACATAAATAATCAAAACTATAAACGAGTCATGTTTATTTCGTATATTGTTTAGAGCATAGCTTTTTAAAATATAATACATTTTTTTTTATTTTAAATATAGAAAGTCTGGTAAAATCATAAAAGGCATTTTTAAAATAATCAGAAGTAAGGTATAAAATGTTTACACGTGTGTGTGATCTTAATACGAAAAAAAAGTTTGTAAGAGACCTAAAATCACACTCTAAAAAATGCTGGGTTGTTTTAACCCAATTTTGGGTCAATGACAAACCCCCCAAAAAACGTTGTGTTAAAAATGTGTAATAGAAAAATTCAACCCAACGACTGGTTTATCCATATTTTACCCCAAATTGGGTTAAAACAACCCAGTATATTTTTAGAGTATTGTTCTGCTTTGATTACAGTATATATATTATATCAAAGGGATAGCTCATGAAAGACTAATCAGTCCTTTAATAACTTTATAAGTGAACTCACTGGACGGATCCATTACTGTGTTTCCTCCCGACCCGTGAGAGTCTCCTACGGGACGCGCTGGCCGGTAAACTTCGCTCGTGCCCGATCATCGTCCCGTCATCAGCTGTCTTCTAGTTAACGGGTCCGTTAGAATGACGTTCGCGCCCGAGTTGCGCGCGCATCATATGAACCGGCCAACAGTATTCCAGAGGCGATATGAACTCTTCACTCTTCAGCGCAACACTGAGCGAGTTTCTATAGTTCTGCTTCTCAAACACGCAGATCTGATCATCTGTCTACGTAGGCAGCACTTGTGGGCATCACGGGCGCGTTCCCGGGGAAAAATGCTGCGCGCGCCTGTGATGCCCACAGCACTCATGATGTCTAGGTAGGCTTTTTAGTGTGTGTTGGGACACTAACAGTTACAGGCTGACTGAACGTGCTGCTGATGATGGACCTGTTTATCGTCTATCATTAAGTTATACTTATATTAAATACATTAATTGCGATCTCGAATCGATTTGAAAATTAAAGTCGTTCAAACGACAAAGGTGCGTCCATGTTAAAAGGGATAGTTCACTTTGAAATTAATTTTTGATATCTTTTAGCTTACCTCAAGGGCATCCAAGATGTAGGTGTCTTTGTTTCCACAGTATTTTCAATTTTGACATTTTTCGGTCAAACCGGTGTTGTCTGTCAGTGTCAGTCATATAATGCAGGGTATGGGGGTCCGCCTCAAAGAGAGCATACACAGAGAAGTCAAAATTAAACATGATTTATGACTCGTGTCGTGAATGTAAGTACACATTGATGGCCTAAGACACCAAACGAGCGGTTTGTGTGAGAAAACGAACAGTATTTATATCGTTTTTACCTCTTGTTAACCAGCCGTCGAACTGACCTGATTTAGATGTCCAACTGAAACTGAACCGAACTAAACCGTCTCCCAACATTACGCCGGAAGTGATCTCTCGCGGGTCTATGTCACGCAATGTTTACGCCACGGAGATTTCGGGAGTTTTACCTTTCACTAAACATATTTACATATATCGAAATCGTCTTCCATTGCGATTTCCCGTATATCTAAATATGTTTAGTGAAAGGTAAAACTTCCGAAATCCCCGTGTAAACAATACGTGACGTAGACGCGCGAGAGATCACTTTCGGCGTAAAGTTGGAGACTGTTCAGTTCCGTTCAGTTGGACATTTGATTCAGGTCAGTTCAACGGCTGTTACTGTAACAAGAGGTAAAAACTATATAAATACTGTTCGTTTTCTCACACAAACCACTCATTTTGTGTCTTAGGCCATCAATGTGTACTTAATATGAAAGTCTTTAGCTGGTTATCGGTGGTTAAGCAGCGCGTGGACATGCGCGCCATCTAGAGGCCAAACTGAGAAAAAACAAAACAACATCTTATTTTTATTTAATTAATTCATTTTTATATTTTTTAAAATGTCTTTTTAGTTTAATTAGATTTTATTATTAAAACTAAAATGTATTTATTTACTTTGATGTAATGTATTAATTCATGATTTTTATTTTTATTATTTTTTAATTTACTGTATTAAAATGTATGTATTTGTTAAATTAATCTTTTATTTATTTTATGTATTTATTTATTTGTAAAAATACACTGCTTTTCTCTAAACCTTTCAGTCCGGACCCCAGTCTGAAAACCCCAGGCTTATGTTGTTTATATAATATTTGGCTGTCTCATCATCTGTATGTATTGTCAGTGTAAAAGCAAATTCTCTCCATATGTTTTGTGTGGTTACCTTACCTGTACTGTCTGACACACTGAAACAAACTCTGTTTTTACTCTCTAGATATTCTTTTTAAGGTAAAAAACAAACCAAAATAATTATGTTTGACATCTTTCTGCCGTCTCTGTTAAACCACTAGAGGGCGCGCGACACCCAAAAAGAAAAAAAAAACATCTTTGTTTGTACACAACATATTAGCCTAAACATTTTCACCAGCCAAGCCGAGTCACAACAAAATCTCTCTGAGTGTTATAGCATTCGCCCTTGAACGTGTTTGCTGTATAGTGTGCTTATCTTCACGTTTTTTGGTGGTTTTTAGATAATAACCCTTGATGTTATAAAGGGTTTCCCCAACTCAGAGCAGTTTTTTTGTCTTATGATTCAGCAATATAATGACTTCCAGTCAAGAAGAATAATGGCGGCAAAAAACAACAACAGTGGATTAAAAACAACACACACACACACACACACACACACACACACACACACACACACACACACACGGGTCTTTCCTTTAGGTTTCTTAATGCTGTTCAACATTTACAGATTCGTGCCAGCAATAGTTCTATATGAATATGATGTTTTGTAGGCTACATGACAACAATTTCCATAAATGCAAAAAAAGGTCGTAAGTATCATCTTTCTTTGTGGCATAAATAATAATGCAAATGTGTGTGTGTGGTTTTTCCAGCGATGTATGCAAGCATTGTAACACACACATATGCATTAGGGATCGGGATATCTCTGGTTACACTGTACAATAAGATCTAATTATTAGCATTATTTAATGCATTAATATTATAATATAGTCTTGTGCATCGTTTACTCATGTTAATCAAGTCTCCGAAGTCTTAGAAAAATCATTTGTGTGTGTGTGTTTCTGACCTATAGGCATAATTCTGGGGGAAAAAACATATTGAAAATAAAACTAATTTTGTGTATATCCTTAAGAAAATTATTCAATTTTTTTAGCATGTGAAAATTAATATTATTAATTTGTTGTGCTATATAATATTGTACAATATTTAGTTGCACTGTAAAAAAATATTGATGGTTTAACTTAAAAAAGTAAGTAACTTGGGTTGCCTTAAAATTTTAAGTTGATTGAACTGGAAAAAGTGAGTTAATACAATGAAGTAGATTAATTTAACCATTAGAAACTCAAAATAGTAAGTTATCTTAACTAAATCAATTATTGTAAAGTTGATTTGACAAAAGAAAATATGTTGTGATAACAAATATTGAAAATATTTTTTACAGTGTACTATTACATGACATCATTGCATATTTTTCCACTCATGTATACTAGGCTATTTATTCATTTATTATTTTATTTAATTTTACTAGTTACTTATTTTCACCTTATTTTAATTTAATTAATTTATATAGATTTCAGTTTATTTAAATATAATGTATTAATTTATTATTGAATCGTTGTATTTATTTATTTTTATTTAAATAAAATTGTATTTATTTCAATTTATTTATTTTATTTCAATTTATTTTAATATATTCTATTAATTTATTATTAGATTTTTTATTTTATTAAAATTTATTTAGTTTTATCGTATTTTCTAATTTATGTTTTTAATCACATTTATTTAAATAACATTTTGTTAATTTATTTTAACTTAATGTATTAATTTGTTTGCATTTAAATAAATTTGTATTTATTTATTTGAATGCAATATATTAATTTATTATTTGTGTTAATTTTAACTATTTTTTATTTGTTTAAAAATTATTTTTAATGTAATTTTTTACTTTAATAAAATGTATTTTATATATTTAAATGCTATTTTATTTTTTTTATTTAATGTATTTATTTATTTAAATTATTTACTGTAAATAAAATGGTATTTATTCATTTTAAGCATTTTTAATATAATATATTAATCATATCGGTTTTAAAAGTATTTATTTGTTTAGTTTAATCTTGTTTTTATTTACTTAGATTTTGCACTGATTTCCTTTACACGTTTCCAGTAGCCCTGTAATTGTATTTAATTATTTTTTACAGTAATTCTGCTAGTAGTAAGCGCGCGCGCGCGCGCGCGTGCAGCTCGCGCGCAGAAAGTGGGCGGAGTCTCGTGCCATGACAACCTCAGACTGACTCTAATGCACTCTCGGTTCTGGACGGGGGGAGGAGGGTCGGGACCGGCCACACACACACATACACACACACACACACACACACACTCACACACACACTATCTGGCTGTCCGTCGGTGGAGTGTGTGTCGTCCATGACCGTGTGTTTTAGTTGCAAGAAAGAAGAGAAGAGAAAAGCCGCCACATCCTCTCGGCTCTCGGAAGAGGTCCATCAACATCAGCGCCAATGGAGCTCCTATGCGGCCGCGAGCTGCCATTCTGGGTGAGTTCTCCAACACATCTGGGTTTGCCTGTTTTCAGCTGTAAATTATACATAAAGAAGATTTTCTACTGTGCTCTGTTTCCTTGACACTCGTTAAACTACAAACGAATCACATGAGTTGCTGGAGTGAGTGACGCGTTACGCAGAAGCAAAGCGTCTAATCTTCTGAGTTGGATCGTTTTAAGTGAACCGGTTCCGAGTTGTTAGTGAATCGGTTCTTGTGTTCTAGAGTCAGCTGAGGATTCATGCTGAACTCGGAACCGCATACTAGCTTAAGTTACTATATCTGATATAGAAAGATGTGATAAAAGTAGTGTGCGGTTCCAAACACTGTTCAACTTTTCAGTGAACCGAACACCGGATGTGTTCGATTCGTAGTGAATCGATTCAACTGCGAGTTTGAATACTTGTTTTTTTTATTGAACAAAGATCACAGGGGATACATGTATCACAAAGAAACTGTAATTAAAGTACAGACAGTAGTACAAAAAAATAATTGAGTTGCTGAGAGTTTAATAGCGTAAAAAACTACAAATGACCTGGAAGATATTTAGGAATTATATATTAGCAAACAGGTTATTTAAATAAAAAGCTTTTTCTACAAACATGCAAAAACTGAATGAAATTAATTTTAGCATAGCATATATGTATATATGTATCAATTAATTAATCTTTGTTTTATAATCTAAATGATGTATTATTTATACGACTTAGTTGTTACAGTGTAATAATAGATAGGTACTGTGTGATATTGATTAACTGCATGTACTTGCTATAGGGTTAGGGTAAGTTGCATGTAACTATACCTCCTGCACACACTCAGATTCAGTGACCCTGAAGCGACCCGCTAATCTAAACCTGAGAGAGAGCTGAACGTCTCAACCTATACAGTAAGCGAATAACTCCTCCAGTTCATCACAGCAGCTGCACAGCGAGTCTAATCATATCACTGACGATCAACTGCAGCGCGAGCTGAGTAAACACTGACATCTGTAATGCAGAGCTTAGCCGAGAGTCCATCTGACGCCTCATTCATGGGTCTATGACAAACAGAAGAAGGACAATAATAATGCACATTTCCTGAAGAACATGGAAGTGGTGCTTGCAGTGTCAAAATCTGGCACCTTTTATTTAAATAACCTGTTTGCTAATATATAATTCAATAATAAAAATGTCTTCCTGGTCATTTGTAGTTTTTTATGCTATTAAACTCAGAAACTCAATTCTTTTTTTTAGTAGACT